CAATGTCTGTTTTTTTTTTTCAATTTTCGAATAAGATATATATTGGGAACGAATTTGTGGAAACACTATAGTACTTTTGTTCGTCTCGGTCATTAGCAAGAACTATGTGTTGTCCATGTAGTAGGCAAGATTCTGTTGGATACATCCTGGTATTTTATAGTGAGCTGACGTCGTGTGTAACTGTTTAAAAAAAGAATGATAATGACCGAGACGGTTGAAAGTAAGTAAGTGAACAAAACAATAGAACAAACACGCACTTCGGAGAGTTTATACACAATTTCGATCCCAATATGCAACATCTCGTGGTAGATGAAGTCACGTACTTTTTTTTCTCTATTTGACGTTTCATAAGTACTCCTTATTTTCCAATATAAATATAGTTTCATCATATAAAAATCAGCATTTTGGTGAATGTGCTATAGTTAGTAAATTAGTAAGTCAGCACCTCAGATAAATAATGAACTAGTCTGTTTTGAGTGCGAGAAAAAATGAAAGTAAAAGATATATTAGAAAACACCTTCTGATGTTAGTAAGAGAAAGAAAACGTGCATAATAAATAAAGAATATGTTGATGAGGCGATAACGCATCAGCGAAATGGAAAACCTTGTCAGTTTTGTATCTTTTCATTTGCTTTCGTGGACAGAGTGCCGAAGGACAAAGTGTCGAACAGAGTGTTGAACGAAAAAAGTATCGAATGGGCAAAGAGCCAAACAGAAAAAAAGTGTCGAACGGACTAAGTATTAAAACTTGAAGGAATAATTGAATTTAGTAAATAAACTAAATTGTGAGGTCGCCGCCTATTAATAGTCCCTAATGAATGTATATATGAGAAGGCTCTCAGTTTTTTGGTAAAAAAATAGAGCGTAAGAAACGACTCCCATCAAATCGGACCAATAACCGATGATTAATCACTTTTAAGGCTATCTTTTATTAAATGGCGCTAAGAAATTCTCTTTACAAACTCGTTGTGTTCAATGCAGGCGTGTTTGATAACGTTAAGTGTTACTCCACGGCGAGTTAGGATCAAACTTACTTCAGTAGCAATGGTGAAACAAGACTAGTTTACACACGGTCACGTGCTCAACATTTGATTATAGAAATTATTGCAAAAATGCTCTAATTTGGTTAACAAAAAGTGCATCATTCGATAGAATGAAAAATGAAAACCCACATTCATTCAATTTTACACCAACGTGACGTGGCTTCCTCTGTATTTCCTACAAACATTTTCATGGCAGTTGTTCTGATAAGTTTCTTCCTTGTTACCTCGACTGCATGAATTTAAGCGTGCTACTAGAGTGACAACTAGATCTCATCGTCTTACTGTTGGACTATCGGGATGTAACCGTAGGTTTCTCGCTCTTCTCGCTCTTCTCGCACTTCTCGTTGGGGAATTCCCTCCCGTTTTCTTGCGTCACTGCCGTTTATAATGTCCAAAAATTTAAATGCAACGACAGTCGCCATCTTCTGTCTTCCTGAACCTTGTCCTTTCTCCTCACTTCTCACTAAAGTCTACTCAGTCTCTTTCACTCCCAGTAACCTCTTGCGTCTTAGTGGTATTATCACCTTGCTTGTGTGAAATGATTAAAGAAAACGAAATGCAAGAACTATTTGTAAATATTTAAAGACCACAATAGTGTGGAGCTCTCTAAGATCGAGCTCACGTCACTAGCTAATGTTCTGCTCATTTTAAAATAGGCGCACCAGTCCTGTACGATGAATTTTGTAATTCAATAATAAGGGTGGTAATTTGGGAGCTTCTAATTGAGAAGAAATTCTTGAATTATTTGGGAAGGTTCGGAAATGGGATTTTCTTTCTACAGCTTCCAGTAACCACTTTTGGTAATTTAACAGTTTGTTTCTAATGAGGCATCCATTTAGGACGCCGTGTGTCAAGAAATTTTTTTCTACCAATGCACTGGAAAATACTATATTCTCAAATACCGTCACTTGTCCGAAAATAATCATTGGAATTTGAAAAAAAAATTGCTTTTCGGCATCACCTGTTCTATGGTCATTATATCCCATTATGGACATTAGGTATGAAGAATGTTTTAAGATTTTTGAATGGAGCCTTGGTGGGTGCGGGTTTTGACTGCGGAGAAGCAAAAACTCTATTAAATAAAAAAAAATAAAGTTTGTATTTGTAGGAAAGAAGAAATGGTCGTGGATTCTGTATTGTCACCGGAGGCGGTCATCAAGTTGCTTATCACGTGATCATTAATTACGGGCAATGTCCTCCATACAGCATAGGGTTTGACCTTCTCTTTTTTTCTATTCTATTTTATTTTTTTCTAATCGAATTTACTTCATTGGAGTCTGTTTTCGGGATAGAAATAGAAATAGAAAAAGAAAATTCAAATGAAAAGAAGAAATTCATGAAATGAATTATTTCTATGAATTGTTCGTCGTCGCTGGAGGGCTTTAACATTTACAAATGGCTCTATTGAGGGAGGCGCGGGCAAACAGAGAAGGGATGGTCAAAATATGGACAACTTAAAGAATTAAAGAGGAGAATGAGATAACAATAAGCAATAGGAGAGAGGGAGAGAAATGAAGAACTGAGAGAGAGAGAGAGAGAGAGAGAGTGAGAGAGAGAGAAATGGAGAGAAAGGGGAAGTCTGAGGTGAGCAAGAAGTTTTTGATGTAGAGTGAAATTAAGCGTTTTTGATAGATTGTTAGATGAGAAGAAAGAAAGAAAGAAAGAAAGAAGAGCGAGTGGGTGGGAAGGGAGCACTGTAAGGGAATTTATCTCAGAGAGATGTAAATAAAGAGGTGAAGATAGAAAATAGGGGAACAAAAGAAGGACGAAATACTAACAAAGTTAGAACATGTATAAAAGAAAGGGAGAAAAATGGGATGACAAAACAGCTTGTAAGAGAGAGAGAAAGAAAGAGAATTAGTATGAAAGAAAAAGGAAAGTGAAAGAGAAGAGAGAGAAAGAAGACGAGGGAGAAAGAAAGAGAGGAATGGACAGGGAATGAGAGAGAGAGAAAGAGAAAGAAAGAGAGCGACAAAGAGAAAGGGGAGAGTGATGGAAAGAGAAAAACAGAGGGAAAAGTGAGAAAGAGAGAAAGAGAGAGAGAAATTTAGGAGAAATAAAGAAAAGAGTTAATAAGTGTATATACAAGTAATTTATAGGACATGTGTAAAAAGAGTGTTGAGTGACAGAGAATGAGAGAGAGAGAGAGAGAGAGAGAGAGAATGTGAAGAAGAAAGAGAAGAAGAACGTGGAAAGTTTTGAAATTTCGTGTTTGGAAATGCTCTTAATAGTAACGGAAACATTTTTGAAAATATATTGAATATCAGAAAGACAGAGAGAGAGAGAGAGAGAGAGAGAGAGAGAGAGAGAGAGAAAAGAATATTATCAGTGAGAAATAGGAAGATAAAAGCAATAAAAATGTAAGAGAGAGTAGGAGTGAAAGTATGTTTTAGGGAAAGAGAGGGAAAGAAATTAGAGATTAGATATTATATAGATGTAAAAGAATTAGAGAAAGCTAAACTTAGTCTGGCACAAGGCCACAATAGTAGGACATGGAATGAAGATAAAATTGACAACACTACGTTTTGCGTCAGGTTATGAGCAGATATTAGAAGATATGGGAACATGTTTAAAAAAGTGAAGACAGATTAAAGGATAAGAGATAAACTTAAAAATAATAAAACTCACATGAAACTTAACTCAAATTTCACTTTTAGGATCTTTGGTTCGAAGATCAAAAAGTAGGAAACTTTGAGCTTTATTATTTATATTTTCTTATCTCTTAACCCTTAATTCGTTCCTCTAGTTGCTCCCTAATTTAATTATATTTATATTGGGTACTTTATTAAGCTTGTAAAAATATTTTGGATAGTTTGGCTGGTTTAAACTATTCCGGTACATTACACACAGCACTCACAAATCAATCAACACAAATAATTGCTTATACACCAAGAGACCTTGGAATTAAAACTACTTCAACCGATTTTGTTCCACCATAAAATATTTTATTAATAAGTAAAAAGATAAGAATAAGAAATATAATTTTAGATGCTGATATATATATATATATATATATATATATATATATATATATATATATATATATATATATATATATAACCCAATTTAGTAAATGTGATAAAATTTACATTGGCGACACACAGCTAAGTTTACAAAACGCATCTGTAAGCATAAAAGACCTATAAAAAATAGGGCATATATTAAATTCTTCTTCCGTATATAAAATAAAAGCCATCTATTAGATTAAGAAAATCGTAGGGTTGCTATGGTAACGCTTCTTTCTTTAGACTTTTTTTTTTACAGTTGTTTTGAAAATGCTCTTACAGAGCGAAACGTTAACAAGAAAATAAAAAAAATAAACATTCACCTGGTTTTCACAGATTCCATACTTACATAATTTGTTCGGATATTTCATATTATTCATTTTAACGCACGCATACACACAAATATATATAGTATAAACTTGAAACTGAAAGGGAAGAGGAGAGAAAGAGAGAGAAAGAGAGAGAGAGAGAGAGAGAGAGAGAGAGGGAGAAGGCGATAAAGTATGAAAAAAGACAGAGGAAAAGTTAGAGATGTGACTGAGTGAGATGGTGTAAGAACAAAGTGAGAATTTTGCTTGGTCAGAGAAATGTTTGGTCCTGAACCGAAGCAAAGTAAACCTACGACATTTTTTTGTTTGCAACTAGAGATAAAACACGCTTTATTTTCTTCGTTTCGTTTTGAGAAAAAAAAGTCCAATTCTTTTTCTATTAATCCACTTGTAATTGTTTTGTTTTTATATTCTTTTTGCTATCTACCTTTCCGTGTAGATTTGCATGCAAAATCTTTCTTTCATTTTTTTTAACTTTCGTTTTTGTTTTTTTTTTTTGTCATAAATGTTAAGTCTTTCGTTGATTTCGCTTAAAGGATATCAGTATGTAACAAGGCGTCCTAGCTGCTCGTCATACCGGCTGACAAAAAGGACGTAAATGATATTGTTGAAGCGGTAGCCGCATGGCGGATGTGCTGGAGGCATCTTTTCGAATGTCAAAGCTGCATTTCTTAGCGTCGGTGCATGAATTGGCCCGTCGACCATTTACGCACGGCCGTTGCGTCCACAGCCACCGAGTGGTTAGCAAAAGAGCGAGAGATGAAGAGCGAAAAAAAAAAAATGAAGAAAGTGATAAGTTAACTTCATATTTATAAGTCTGTTCACAAAATGAAGAATTTACAGACGACCCTTGAACTGAAAGCGAAGAGATAAATAAAAAGATAATTAAAGAATAAAAAAATATAATAGTGTAGAAGAATGCCTGGAATATTTTGGTGTCTATTCAAAGTTTAGTTTCCAAACCAACAGTTTCTTTCTTTCTTTCTTTCTTTCTTTCTTTCTTTCTTTCTTTCTTTCTTTCTTGTTCATTCATTCTTTTTGACTTCTCTTTCCTTCTTGAATTCTTTGAGTACCTTATTACATATTTTTATATTTTCTGTTTTCCTCCATTTTTATTCTGATATTTTTTCATTTTTATTTCTATTTTACAGTATCCTCTCATTCCTCCCGTTCAACTTTCTTTCGTTCTTTTTTTTATTCCTTCTCCTATTCGTTATTTCTTCTTTTCAGTTTAAACTTCATCTTTTTACCTATTTCTATTTTTAATTTTTTTTCTTCTGAATTTCATTCTTTTATTTCTCTGTTCCACAATTTTTTTCTTACTCATATTACGTTTTTCTTTCTTTCTTTCTTTCTTTCTTTCTTTCTTTCTTTGCATCTGCCCTATTTATTTTTTTTTATTGTCTTTTGCTTTCATCTTTCATCCTTTTTTTATCATTTGCCACCATTCTTGTGGATACTTTTTTCTGCCATTGGGTTCGGTTTTTGAAGAACGTAATTAACAGACTTTGACGGCGAAAAAATATATCCACGTTTTTTATGCTTGTATCTACTTTTCTCTCGATGTCAAATACTTCAATATCTACCTTGTCACATAAAGAGTGAACAATGCCAACGAATTGATACACAAACGACTCGTAAATACCAAGAAATCTCACGGTGGGCTCCACAAGGTGAATGCCTTGTAATACCCAAGATGACAAGAGAATCGCTCTTTTGTTACCGCCTGGGGTGGAGAAAGCGCGGTCGATGGTGTGGAGCGGTGGGTGAGCATCAAAACAGTATCTTGAATGCTCATTGGATAGAACCTGACTTCTCACGATATTATCGACATTTCTCGAAAATAAATAACACGAAGCGAATATAACAGTGAGATATAAAATAGATATTTCTATTGTAATGAAATTCTACCTATGCCGATGTAGTTGTTTTTATATATATATATATATATATATATATATATATATATATATATATATATATATATATATGTTATCAATTCTCTGTTTCTTTAATGGATTATCAACACCCACCAATATTATCAGTGACAACAATAAGTCATTAAAATATCCCTGACATGACATTCGAATGCCCTTATCCCATACACTAGTCCTATATATATATATATATATATATATATATATATATATATATATATATTCGTTCTATCACTGATATTGAGCATATTTCTCCATAAGAGCATACCTTAAATCTGTATTTTTATCATATATATATATATATATATATGTATATATCCATGTGCAAATTAATTGAAACAAAACGAATAATTCCGTTATTATTTACTTTTTGTTTCGTACTTTTCCAATGAAACATGACCCAGTACATATGTTAGTATTTCGTAAGTTCATTCCACGAAGTCTTTCCTTGCAGATTGACTACAGATTCTCAATTGGATTTAAATCAGGAAGAGTTTCCAGACCAGTCTCTAGTACTTTGATTTGCTCACCGGTAAGCCTTGCCAGTGTGTCCATGCAGCGTTACAATTTTCGTACACTTCCTTGGAGTAACGTCCATCGCAGGCAATGGCCGTAGGACAACTAATCGACAGTCGAGACAATAGTGTCCGCGCGTGATAAAAATCTGATGCAATCATGGATGACGCAATATTTTTCAAGGGCAAACAAATTTCATTAAATCAAATCGATTACATCCTGTCACTTCAGAGGGTATAAAATTGACCGTATGGTGAAATAAAGGAAACTAAAGCAGTTGTTTCAATTAAATTGCACAAGGGTATATATATATATATATATATATATATATATATATATATATATATATATATATATATATATATGTATGTATGTATATTATAAAATGAACACACTTTTTTTTCTTCCGCACTACCGTGTATTGAGCACGTTTTTTTTATATGTAATTTAAATTTTTTTATATAAGGTTTATAATACATAATTATATATTTTTTATGTAATTTTCCGGTCTATATATATATATATATATATATATATATATATATATATATATATATATATATATACCTTACGTTGATGGGAAAAGTAACTGAAGCCTCGCCGCCAGATCAGGACCAATAATGACGCTGATTATTTTTGGATTTTATCAAGGAGCCCAAATAAAATAGCTGGGGTACGCGGCCATATGTGCCAGCAATGTTCTAAGCATGGACAAATGGTAGACTTACAGATATATAAGATAGATTCTGGAGCAGTTGATCTAGTGGTGATGGATTCAATATAGTCTTTCCACTTCATGTCAGCTGTTAATGTTAGCCCGAGAAGGCGCAACGAGTCACTTTCCTGGAGGTTAGCATCAGCCATGCTGATGGAAGGTAGAGACGGGGGTCTCTCAGATGATTAATGGAGAGAAGTTTAGTTTTAGAGGCATTAAAATTAAGAAGCCATCAATTTGCCTGGCTGATTTCAATATCGAGTCTTAACCAACCGCGCAGCCTCAAACGTTTGTAACGATTCTCTTTTATTAAGATACAAATGCCTCCTTATTTATCAAGGCCCTCATTACTTTTTCTTTTATCACTTTCTCGCATCTAAGTTCTCCCTCTTTAATCAATAAGGAAAACAACCTAGATACTCTTTTCCTGGGGTTGTGTCCACTTGACATGGTTTCCGGCACTAATAGCCCCTCATTATCTTTGTAGTACGGGGTCCTTGACCGTTTACCTAAATTTCGTGGTGTTCTCGGATAACCCATCCGAGGTTTGCTATTCCTATTTCTAAAGGGAGAATTTCTCCACGCAGAACCAGTACCTTCTTCTGGGGCAGTTGGCAGCAAAATAGCCGACCTGGTCACATGCCCAGCATCCCATTTCTCTTATTTTTACAAGGGCCACTCTCCCTCTTAATTTTTGTACTGGGGCGGACCATTGGCGTTTCCTTGATTCTGTTTTCCGGGTATGGATATGGTGACGGGTGGGGGATGGGTATCTCTTTTTCTTGATTCCACACAAATTGGTCTGGCCACACCTAGTGCATTTTAGCTCGTCAAAATTCGGGGGAAGTCCCCAATTTTTCGGATAATGTACGGCCCTATGACCTTCATAATTCCAAATCCAGAAAACTAACTCATATCTTCCAGGTGTTGGCTTACAAAAACATGTCCAAATTTTTATGCTCTTCTATTGGGAACTTCCTCCTAATCTTCCGGTTGGTTTTTCCCCATCCTATTCTCTTATTCCACGTGTTTTCTTTTTTAATTCCCCCTATTCTTTCTTCTTCTCGACTTCCAGGTGCAAAAACTATCACAAGAGAAACATGGGAAAACCAAAAAGTGTCTTACCTGTCACTTAGCTTGTCCTGTTGTGGTTCCAACTTGACACAAAAATGTTCGTGGACTTTTAGAACCTTATAATCAAAATGACTAAAATCCATAGGTTTTACTCCTTCAACGAAATGACCTTTTTGTATTGATATTTTAAATTTCTGTTGCCTTCTCCTGGGTCGCGCTCTTAGCCATAGTATTAATTATAACATTCAGGGTCATATCCTGTTCACTGGTCACCAATTATAACACGGCCGGTCCGGCTCGATCCTGCGTTGTTCCAACGTTGGTCAGTTACTGCCGCCGGTCAACTAATGGTTATCTGCTTTCCGCTCATGTTGTGTTCCTTAATCACAGAGAAGTTAAGATCAAATTTCGTCCATTCTTGGGTGCTGGATCGGTGGAAGCGTGCTACAAAAGGACAAAAACGCTTCCGTTGACGAAAATAAAAATAACATAGGAAAATAACGAAGAAGATTGCCGGGTTAATTTTCATTTGGTTTATATAGTTTTTGATACAATAAAATTAATCCTTCTCGTTAAACTCTCTATCGTGGCACTTTCTTTTTTTCTTCTAAAACTTGGATTGGGTTCAATCAACAAAGAAAGAGGACGGTCGGGAATTCTTTTTGCAGGTCAACAGGCTCCTTCGTCCGCTGCTGTCTTGTCTGGTCTGTCGTTTCTTGCTCCAACTGCTGGGTTGCTTAAGCGCTCTGTTTATATATATTTCGCACTACTGGACCTCAGGACTCATTAATATTCGTCTCAGTTAGTGATTTTCTCCAATGTTGAGAAAACAACACCGACCTTTAAACAAAGCAACTCAGAATTTTAAAACAATACATTCTTCGACAACAAACTCTGTTTATCATTCCTTTCAATATCCTGACGACAATCCGCCCGCGATCTGTTATTTATTGAAAACAATATTTTTTCCGATAACAAACTTCGAGATTATACATTATTTCTGTCCTTGACGTGAAAATATTTCCTTTGCTCTTGATTTATCAATATGACCGATTGAAATCTTTGCCCGCTTTGCACGTTTAGAAAACCATATTTAAGTTTATTTACATTATTGGCTTTGCGATTTATAACAATTCGATCTGCCTCTCGTCCGACAAGCAATCCATATTCTACATTTCTCAAATCATATTTTGGACCCGACATTCCATTTTATGTTTCTGTTTATCAAAAAGAAAGAAAAATATTTCTCTTTTTTCCTTAGCTCTGTATTTCAACTCATGTTTTCTATTTAAAGTTTTTAACCCTTCCAGTTCCCCAAATCCTGTACGGGGTTTTAACATGACCCCTTTTAATACTTTTCATACTAACAGTGTCTCAATAATGTTTCATTTAATCCTTTCAACTACAATCAGTGACACTTTATAGTGTCATATATATATATATATATATATATTGCGTCTAGCATGAAACAGTTTGTCACCTCTGAGTGTTGGCTTCAATGTTCATTTTTGCATTTACATACGCTCTATCTCTGATATTGAGCACTCTATCCCATAAATATAGCACAACTTAAAAGTATATTTCTTCATATATATATATATATATATATATATATATATATATATATATATTAGGATATTACACCGAAACCATGTAAAAATCGTTACACAATTGCAGTCGTGTTTCAATGCATATCAATGATCTCATCAGGCGATTGTAAATTACTGGCGAGTGAACGACTGATTAAGATTTAGAAGCAAAATATAACCTCTTCTTTCGATAAAAAGAAACAAAACTGGGTTATAACGTTTTTGCGCTTTACTCTGATCAATATTTTTATAAATGGGTCATGACCCGTAGATTGGCAGCTAACGGCAGCCAGACATAAACTAAAAGCGGATACATATGGTTACATAAAATATACAAACTAGACAATGCAATTTTCTAAGAAATAAAAAGGGGAGTAGAGAGTTAATTTAATAAAATGCTAAACAAGTTATATGTTTTATGAATTTTCTACATAAATTTCTTTTTATAGTTGACAAATCAATGACATATTTAAGAAACTAGTAAATGATTTAAACATATACAATTATTTGGTAAATTAATATGCAACTGTTAAATAAAAATCCTTCATATAAGATGTTAAGAACACTAACCAATCGATTTAAAATACAAAAAATAACAATCAAATACCAATACAACTGTACAAGATGTTACTATTACTGCCAGGAAATTAATATAAAA